AATTAAGTTATTTTAAAAATTTTTTTTTTAAATATCAACTATGATTATAGATTATATTTTAATAATTTTAATTTTTATATTTATATAAAAAAAATTTAAGTTGACTATAAACCAAAAAAATTTTAAATTTTTAAAAATTTCTGATTATTAAAGATTTTATTTTTAATCATAGACAAACTTTTAAAAATTTTTAAAAAAATTTTATAGTAAAATTAAAGAATTGGCTATATTTAAACTAAGTTTTCATTTATATTTAAACAGATACATAATTAAAATTTTAATAAAAATTAATTAACAATATGCTAAATTCTTATTTTAGCTTAGTAATAGGAGTACTTATTTTTAATTAAATTTTTAATAATTCTAAAAAAACATGTTAAAAAATATTTTAGCAGGCATATTTGCCCACTGGACGGTTTAAGGAATACTCTGTCTCCATTATTCTCTTATATAGTCATTTTCCATCAATATCCCAATTGTCCTTTATGTATATCTGATCTCTGAGATTAATGGTTTGTAACTCTTGATTTAGACCTTGACACATTGGAAGTAATACTTATAAAAATTTTTTGCTAGAGTTTCGATCTTTGAACAAGTTTGCCATAAAAATTTTAAAAATCTGAAAAAGTATTTTTTAGAAACTACAATTGATGAAATTTATTCTGATATAAAAAAATTATTTTTAAAAATTTTTTCTAAAAATTTTTATTATAGAGTGAAAATTTCAATAGCTACTATGTTTTATTATAAAAATTATCACGTGTGCACTACTTATGATTGCCAATGTAATAGATTAGAATAGTCTGTATTGTATAGAAGGAATTTATAGTTAGCTGACATGTATATAAACCCAATGTTTTCGCCCTCTTGTAAAGGCAGGCTTTCTGTCTCAAGGTTTTTCTGTTTGAGGTTTTTGTCTTGAGTAGACATATCTCCTCATCGATATATAATAAACATATTGCATGGTTATGATTCGTGGCTTTATGCTTCGTGCAGTGTGTTTTTAGTTTAGTCAGTGTTTAATAGTGATTTTATTTTGCTTTGTATTTTTTTCTGTTTTATTTGACTTTATACATTCACCTCCCAACCCGCTATATTGTACATTCGTTTACCTCCCTGATCTATCTTGGCACAACCCTATCTGACGCTCTCCCAAATTAGGATGGTAACACCGGGTCGGTCGAAAAATTATTCGGCGAATTTTATCAGGTGCACCAGGAATTATTATAGCTATTTTCATAATTCCTGGAACACCTGATAAAAATTGGCCGAATGATTTTTCGGTCGATTCGATTAAGTTTGTGATTTCAGTATAATACATAGATTCAATATATACTGTATATAGAGATGGGTTTCATGCGCGCGCATGATTCCTCAATCGTGCGATTAATGAGCATTCATGCGCATGATTCGGAATCATGCGCATTTTATCCCATATAAATTTATATAGGAAAATTAAAGTATATTTAATTTAGGCCAGGTGTATAATGCCAGGCAAAATTAAGAAATAGGAATGCAGAAGGTTTGAAAAATTCCGAAAAGAAAATGAATGAACATAATGATGAGAAGGGTCGGGGAAAAATTTTTGCCAAATATCCGATATTTTCCGGAGATAAATATAAAATCAAAAAAATTACATCATGTAATATCATGCGCATTTTATATAACATGCGCATGTTATTATAAAATGCGCATTTTCCCATCTCTAACTGTATATGTAATTTAAGATCAGGTTACTAATATAAATATTATTGAATATTCTTTCAAAGCATCTTCGCTGGAAAAAAAAATTTAGAAGGCCTATTATTTCGAAAAGTTGCCAAACATTTAGGCGTTAGCATATCTTTTATAAGTCAAGTTCTCAATCACTTCAAAAATATGGATGCATTGAAAACCTTCTGTCACTTTCAGAACCATGTTCACTGAACATGAATGATACAAAACATTTTAAAACTTTAATTTAAAAAAAAAAACCTGATTGGCATTTGTACTGTATGGATTTCAATCCGGGAACTTAAAATTAGTCTTATGACAATTTGAAGGGCTACAAAGCAACTTGTATATGCAAATAAAAGTAACATTTTATTTATATACAGGATCTTCTTTTAAGATGTACTTCGTGCAATATGTTTATTTAAAAGTCTAATTAATATATAGTACATTTTTATATTTCTCGTTAAGATTTATTGACACACTAAACATGTTGGATAAGCATTCAAACAATTTAATAATGTTGACATAATTATTACAACGGTCTTAAAACAGTCATTATGACATGGATCATGCCGAAATTACAAACTTAACGTAAATTACCGTGTAAAATACCCCCATTGATTTATACCGGGTCAATTTCAAGTTTATCACAATTTTATTGGCTGTTTTTCGAAAAAAACCTGTTTTTGGCTATAAGATACCCGGGTATTTTACACGGTAATTTACAGTAACCGAATCGGCTGAAAAATCATTCAGCCAATTTTTATCAGGTGTTCCAGGAATTATGAAAATAGCTGTAAAATAGCTGTAAGACCATGAAACGTAGTACTATAACCTATTCCAAATCTAATTTTCGAAATGTTTCTATAGTATTGTTTACTATCTAACTCAAAACTTCCAACTTTAACTCGTCGGACCACAGAAGGTATTTACTGCATAGTAGTTGAAATATATTGATTAAATTGAATACAAATGATTTTAATTTGAAATTTGAAATTCTTTACCAATTTTGGGTAAATTTAAATTTTCGTTTCAACTTAGATGCATCTAAGATCTATTTAAGATTCTATTTAAGATTCTAAATATGGCAAACTATATTCGATGTACAACATATATATAATATATTTGCTATATTATATAATTCTTTTTTTTTGTCCATGAGTTCCATGGATCTGTGAATCCATAAGTTTTATATATGCATATACTGCATATAATAATTATTTGTAATCGTTAGCTGTCTATTATGCTACGATAATAAACAATAACAATTACAAATAATTATTATATGCAGGCATATGCATATGAATGCCAAGGAAAAAAGGCTGTTCAGACTTTAAATGATATTTTGTGTACAGTTAGCCGTTTGTGGAAAATCTATCATGATAAAATTTCCATAGACAGCTAACTGTGCACGAAATATAATTGAAAGTCCGAACGCCTTTTTTTCCCTTGGCAGCACTCATATATGAGACTCAGGACAAAATAAAATTATAAATGATTTATAAAATCAAATAATTTATTAAAAAGTTAAATACATTTTTAATATGAATTACCGTAAGTAATTCCTAAATGGAGAATGTATCAATGAGCTGGAGTAGAACGAGATTTTCCAGTGTAGCATTAAATGTCAATCCTGCATATTAAGTACATGCGCACGTACATATTGTTGTTGCAGCTGGTAATACTGTAACTGGTAATATATTCGTACGTCTAAATGATATATATGTATAGTATGTCAAAATAAAGTTATTAGAATACTAGAAGCCGCAAGAATTAGAGACCACGGACATATGCGTTCACATAGCGCATAAAATGTAATTAATTATTATTGTTTTTACTAGATTTATGCGCATTTGTATGAACATTTTAAACGAATAATAAAAGCATATGTATATAATTGTTAAATTTCTTTTTTATCACCTTAAATTCATAACTATCACATTATACAATGATAAATCAAATTCATAACAATACGAAAAATGTATATGGTTCCTCACACAAATATTGCACAATTTGAAATTATCACATCGCACAGAAATGCTCTTCAAATAGCATAATCTGGGGTCTCTAGTAAGAATGCAGTCTACTACAGTCGGCAAATTTAAAGCGAATAGAAAATAATTCTACTAGGCTGGCGAAGCTGCTTACTTAATCATTTTTTTTATTGTCCGGAGCGAAGCAAAGGACTTACATTTTCAAGGATTTTGTTGTATATCCAACACGTGATCGTCACATACTATATCTCTGTTCTCACGTGTTTTAATTATGATTGGCCACTCCGGACCAATAAAAGCCTGCCTTTTACATATTTTTACTTTTATAAAAAAAAAATCATTTCAAATCGTACGATATTTATGCGAAGAACCATATACATATTTCGTATTATAATTTGATCTATCATTGGATAATGTGATAATTATTCATTTAAAATTCCCGCACAATGTCATATAAATCTCGTAGAAAAAATAACAATCATATTTTATGCGCTTATCATACGACCGCATATGTCCGTGGTCTCTATTCATTATTCACTACATAAACAAAACCTTTATTCCTATTAAGGAAATTAAACATTGCAAAGAGTCTGCAAGTTAGATCTGCAATTTTTTTAAAAAAGCTACACATTACCTTATTTGTATGTAAATAACAAATAACGGAATATTGTGTTATCATGCGTTTATAACTTATAATTCCGGTATATATACGCAGATAATATGAAAAAGCATGAAATATTATCGATGAAAAAAAATGGTGAAAGTTACCGTAACCCTGTATGCAATCATCGTGATATTAATATTATTACCATCTCCTTCAACCCAACTAAAACAATTTACATACGAAGATCCTCAAGCTGGCTTAGATCTTCTTGATGATAGCAAATACAGCGATGGAACAATAATCTTACGTTTCGGAAATCCAATGAAGCAAGTTAATGGAAGTACAACGTGCTGGGATAATACCATTTATCTTCGAATAATTTATCCAAATGCTTCAATTAGTTTCCTTTCGATTTCAAATCACGGAATCCCAGATTTTAATTTTTGTTTAAATAACGAAACCGAAACTGATTATATGACGACGACATGGGGATTCGATCAAAAATTTATGCTTACTTTTTATAATTCTTCGAATGTAACGACTTCAGCAATAATGGGACTTTTTATTAATTTTGAAGGAAAGATTTTAAGGTTTGTATTTACCTAAATATTTTAATTGCATTAATAAATATTATAAATATTGATAATGATGTCTTAATAATCGGATCATACGTTACAGCACAGTGAAATTGCACGATGCCCTTATAGATGATGGAGGCATACAGGGTTACTGGTTTGTCATCCCAAATTCTAGTTCAAATGATGGCTTTTTATTTTACTGTCGCGGTGCGACGGTAATAAGCTGGGTACATTTCAGCGCTCCGTATGTATTGAATAATTATTTAACATTAATAAATATAATAATTGTTGTCAGGGTTGAAGATAGAATTGAAGATAAGGTGGTAATACTGTAGTTACGGGTAGAAAATAATAATTTATTTTGATCAATTTCACTGACGTATTACCAAGTCATTCTACAAACTGAAATATTTTATGAACTATTAGTGAAATAATTATTAAATTTAGAATTTGGAACCAAACTCTAATTGGTGAATTGCATAGTACCATATCTAATATTGCACAAAACATAATTACCACCTTGGACCCTGACAATAATATGAAATAAATCGTCAACATAGTAATAATGTATGTTTTAACATTTACTTTAATCATAGAAACAAAAACGGAAAAATCATCGAAATAGCTAATGAAATAGTCCAAACAAATATTAAAATTGTAACAACATCAGCTTTTTATATGTTAGAGAAGGGATTTGCCATAGCTTACGGAGGAGACGATTCCACTGCAAACACCAGTATTGGTACGACTAATGGAGTATACATAATATTTTATTATTTTGAAATGGGCACACGAACAGGGCTATCCTTGTTATATCAAACTCCCACAAGAATCTTAAAGTCGAAAAAGAATAATACTTATCAAACTTTAACATTAAAACGAATTATATGTAGAGTTGATTTTAGCGGTGCTGGAAATATATGTTTGTTATTATTGGATTCACGAATTATTACCAAAAAGACTAAGAATAAATTTAATAAAACTTCACAACCTATTCAACATCTCCTCCTGAAAATATCTTATCTATCTTCCGGGTAATTAAAAAATCGTTAGAATAATAAGAAATAATAATATATTATGATGGTAAATTATTAATTATTTTTTAAATTCTAGATCTGTAACAAAAATAGGGAATATGAAAAATATCTCTAATGATGATTATAGTATCCAACCCCTTCAGTTCGGTGGTTATTTAATGATAGTAACATCTGAAGAAAATCTTCTTTATGGTCGTATTCTTGATGAAAATGGAGATTTTTATGGAAACTGGTCATTACCACAACCTTTAAATGATCCCATACACAAAAGCACATATGTTCTTCTTACAAATGATTCAATTATTGCTGTGGAAAATCAAAATAATTCAATTTGGAAAGTGACATGTGATAATTCAACTAAATTAACAGGCCAAGGTAAAAATAATATTTAGTGAATGGTCTTCCGTTCTTTAAGAATACTTATTTTTTATTATTATTACTATACTGTGACTGAATATATATTCTGATTTTAATGTTTTTAATCGCAATTTTTATTATTTTTATTATTTTTATAATTTTTATAATTATAAAGATTATAAATTCAATAATCCGATCATATCATCAACAAAGCCAGCATTAGGATCCCGAGTAAACGAATCTACAAACCAACTTTATTTATCATTCACTTATCCTGTAATTCTTTCCACTTCAAATATTTCAATATATCAACGTATTAATGGAGGAAAAGATGACTTATTACGCCAAAAATTTCAAGGTGATTCACCAAATAAATTTTGTCGAATTGATCCAAATGATAATAAAACCGTTATAATAGATGTACTTCCTAGTACTTTTAATGAACCTAATAGTCATTATTATGTCGTTATTGAGGATAATTTTGTAAAACGTAGTGATTCAAATGAAGCACTTTTGGGAATTGACAAAAACTTATGGACTCTGGTCACAAGTTTGTAATAATTATATTTAAATTTATATGTTTAAATATATATTTAAAATTACCTTTAACATTTTATTCCTAATTCTTAGAAAATAAACAATATGTTTATTCAAGTAATATTCATTTTTTTATTGTATCATAATTAATATTCATAACGTTAGTTCTATAAAATTTAACTTTAACTATACTTTAGACCAAATAACCGGCATCATCCGTCTAACACCTGATGGCTCTAGTTATTACCTTTCTCTTAGCTCAGATGACCAACAAAATTTTAACAAGCAAATGGCCACCGACCTCTCTTATATAATTCCCGTTGATGTCAACAGATTTACACCTATAAACGGATTCGAAGAAGACATGTCTACAGGGACTTTGCAAATATTGCTTTTTTTTAACATTAAGGATACCACAGATTTGTCAAAGAAGAGTGCATCTAATATAACTCAAGATTTCAACACATTGTTGAAATATAAGAATTATAATGCTTTAATGAATTATAATACAACTTTATTAATTGATGAGAATTGTCCTATGACAATTGCCCGTAAGTTTACAATTTTTTTTTGCTTAATTATTACGTCCTATAACGCAATTTTAAAGTGTCTTTTTTTTTTTACAAAGCATTATCTTTGAGAGATCATTTGGTGCTGATTATAATTATCATTGTTGTGTTAGTGGTCTTGGTTATACTATATTTTTTAGCTTCGTGGAAATATAAAAAGGTATTTATATTTTATATTCAAATTTTAAAATATTGAATCTATTATAATAATAAATTATTTTTATTATTTAGGCTGATAATTTTACAATGTTCAAAACAATTTTTATTGTTGCTGATTTGGGATTACGAATTTTATTTGTCGTTAATGATGTTCATAAAGTTCCTGAGTTATGGTTGCCAAGGTACACTATTAATTACTATTAATTACTATTTATGCAGTATTCTTATTAACTGTTGATACATTTTATGTTTTTAGCCAATTTAATTTTTATACTTTTTTTATTTTTTATACGTCTAGTTTGATAATACTTATAATTTCAACTTCTATAAACATAATATCATCATTATTGATTATTGTTTATGAAATTGGTAAGAATCTAAAATTTAGCTTATGGTTCTCGGAATTTGGCTTTTTTCTCCCATTTTTGACGATCATATCAGCGGGACATATTGAAGCACTGTATGTTTTGTCTTCAAAATTTGGAATGTTGAATATATTCAGCACAACTTTCTCAAAAACTGCTGAAAATACAATATTTTGGGTTGGAATATTAGGTATGATTATTGGTATTCCACAATTTATTATTCAGGTTAGTACTTACTGAATAAAATGATGAAATTATTATTAATTTTGTACAATACTCTAACACTTTAAAATTGGTTTAATTATTCAAAAAAAAAGATATTATTTAGATTAAGAACAATATCTTTCAATATCATTTCACAATTAGCCTTAGTATCAAATGCAATCATAATAGCATATAACATTCTTTCAGGGATTTATAAAGCGGTATTTCAGTGTATATATAAACAAAAGTTGATAATAACTTAGACAAATAAAAAATAAACTTTACCATCAGCAAGTCTGGTATATATTAATTATTACATAAAAATTTTATTTACATATTTTTAAATTTTAACGCGAATAATTTAAATTTTATTATTAACTTAAATTAAAATCTTGATTTTAATATTGAAATATTGCGAATACGCGTAATTACCTTAAATACGTAGAAAATACTACGAATACGTTGTAGTCTTTATAAAGAAATTAACATGTGTGTAAGTGCTCGCTCTCGCTCTTGGTTGAAAAACAAAATAAGCTCTCCAAATTCCTCTTAAATAAAGATTAAACAAATTCACATTCTTTATGTAGCAAATTCCTAATAAATCATAAATATCTGGACAACATAATTCACTGCCAAATTCATGTGACTTCCTAACATCAACTATAGGAGTTAAACCTGGCATGACAATATGATAGTCACAGTAGGTATAACATACTGCTACTGTCATGTATGAGCATACTACTCTGAGAAATTGGGTTTGTTGCGATTACCAGTGTCACGGTTTAATTTGATACCCCGTGATTTTGTGGTGCTGATATCCGATCAGGATCGGGCAGGATTTAATTAAAAGTCTAATTGTAGATAGTCTAATGCGTGTAACCGGATATATTAATATCCGGGTTAAATCTTGTAATATAAAAGGCGAACATAATATAGTAATAAAACGGCTTTTAGTTTTTAGCTTGAGTGAATTATCGTATATACACTAAGTGGTCGTCCATACGAATTGAAGTATTGAAACGGACGGTAGAGTACCTGTACGATACTCCAGTCATCGTAATTAGCCAAGCGAGTGTAAATTGATAGTAAAGACCCACCAATACACGGAGTGTTGGGAAACTCCGTGACACCAGGAACGGAGTTTCACGGAAGTGAAACAAAGGGTATGGTTTAGAGCTAGAGGTGGGAACCGGTTTTACAAATCTATGTAATAAAAAACTAGTAGTGCAAATTTTATGCATCGAAGAAGACTAATGATCAAAGAATTGATTCATTTCAGTACCAACAATTTTTTCCTAATAATTTATACATCAAACGATTAGTTTAATAAAACTAAACAAAGTTACAGTTTATTTTATTTTTTTACAAGGTTAATTCTTTTTTTTAAGTTTTTTGCAAAGTTAATTCTTTTTTTTTTAATTCGAACAGTATCATAAAAAGTTCTTACTAATTTAATTAAAAATTTTAAACCGTAACTTTGTTTAATTATATTAAACTAATCGTTTGACGAATAATTTACTAGAAAAAAATAGTTGATACATGAGATGAATCAATTTTTAGATCACTAGTCTTCGCTAGAAAAGTTAAAGATTTTGCCGATCTATGCATTTTTTATTACATAATCAGTATGTCGGAAGCACTATTGTCACATGACTAGCTGTTCAGGTGGGTTTATTCGACACGTAAAAATGTCTAATCAATCGAAAATTTTGTCTAACTTTATTTTGTTATCTATTACATGAGGTGAATCAATTTTTTATTTTATTTTAAATTATTTTATTTTATTTATTTTATTTTAAATTATTTTATTTTATTTTAAATTATTTTATTTTTTTAAAAATTATTTTATTTTTTTAAAAATTATTTTATTTTATTTTAAATTATTTTATTTTTTTAAAAATTATTTTATTTTATTTTAAATTATTTTATTTTATTTTAAATTATTTTTTATTCCGGATAATCACGAAATAGCGCATAGGGTGTTATTTCGAATTTCGGCTTGAATTAAGCTAAATTTAGGTCGAAATTCGAAACCACACCCCATCGTGTTATTTCGTGGTTATACGGTTTTTACTTTTTTTTATATGATCATTTACCGGGGGATATTAAAGAGGAGGGGGGAGGTGATGTTAACCGAAAAATTAACTTCAAACGGCCTAAATATCCATTATCATTGTCCCCGCGACTTTATATTACTCGTACAGTACTTCCGCTTTCTCATAAGAAGAGAAAGTTACCATTAGTGCTGTAGTGTTCCAAAGCCCCTTTTATATTAAAATGTAACAATTAATTAAACATCTATCAATGTCATTCTACTCACAATACCGAGACCGCGATTCTGTTTTTACTCACGTGACTCACGTGATATCGTGAACGAAGATTATGATCAAAGCCAAATTTTTAAACCTCAATGCACTTAAACATAGAAAATAGAGCTCTTTTTAGTAAAAACTTAAGACGCCCTACATAACCAACCATACAAGGATATACTCATTCGAACCTGCAGATACTCCGCAGAAAAACCCTGAATCTCGGACCAAGTTGTTTGGATAAATAGTTAGTTTTGACTATAAAGCTTTTAGTTATCACTTTCTTAACATTCCTAAACTTTCGTATGAAAAGACGATAAAATATGATGTGACAATGGTAAGTACAATTATAAGTTGTATAAAATAGTAGAATGAAATAATGAAATAATTGTAGCGCAAAATAATATATAATATGGGAATTAAATCAACAATATGATTTAATTCCACAAGAATAATGAAATTTAACTCTTCTGAAATTAAATAATTCTATTTCTAAAATTTTTAATTTTAAAACGTACTCATATAACGTTCCTGGTTTTAGCGCGCAGCTACTCTAATTCGAAGATTCGTCAATCATTTGATGATCACAGTCAGTAAAGGTCTTTGCCTTGAAAATCGAGTTACGGAATATAGTAAATCGTATGTCCCGTACTTGATTTTCAAGGCAAAGCTAAAACGACATGTAGCAAATACCGGCCATCCAAAATGTCGTTTTTGATCTTTCTAAAATAAAGTAGTATATTAACAAAAACAATAGCATAATAACTAGAAGGATTTTCTTATTTTACTATTGTTCTTTGATCGCAATAATTATGTATCAAATAATAGAATTTTCTTATTTCCTATTGTTCTTTGATTGCAATAATTATACACTAAATAGCTAATAGAATTTTCTTATTTTACTATTGTTTTTTGATCGCAATAATTGTGCATTATATTGGCAATTTAGCTAATATAATTTTCTTATTTTACTATTATCCTTTGATCACATTAATTATGCATCAAGAACAGCACTTTCATTTACTATATGTCGTTTTAGCCCTGCCGTGAGTTTTATATATTTTGAAGAGGTTTTATTGATCGTGTTGATTTTCGTAAAGATCACTGGAATTATGTTGAGATTTGAAAGTCATCAACGCCTAACGGGATCTAACTCATTGCTAGATCTGAATTATTATTATAAAACAATAACGATTTACTTTTAATGAGCTTGACATGTGACAGTATATAAAGTCTTCAATATGACAAACTTAAGTGCTACGATGATGTTTATCTTATTGAACGTTCAATTCTTCGATAACTCCAACTTCAACTGAATTAAAGATATATTAGGAATCAATATTTAAAACCTGGGTTTTCGTGTTTACTTAACAGGTTTGTGAAACAAGTTGTACTTAGAATGATACATTATAGGGTCTTTCGTTTTTCGATTATTCATATAGTTATTAATAATTTTTCAGAGATTTGAAGAAAAAAAAATAAAATAAAAGACTAAGTAAGGGTGCTCTCAAGTGTCATTCCGATGTGATTAGCAAGTGATCGCAATGGCACTCAAGCAAAATTATATTTACATAAAATTTTTATTGAGAA